ATAGTTAAAAACCCTGAAAACATTCAGGTTTTCATTTGGTCTGCAAACATGACTCACAGCCCAGGGTTTGTCACAGAGGTTGTAGATGGAGTCCAGAGAATTGACAGAAGGGATGCCTGCATACTGAAGACCAATGATCAGGTTCCTGAAATCCTCATTTTGGGCCATGCTGAAGGCATGCTGACGAACCAGGATAAAGTCGGGCCTGAAGGACCTGAAACATGCAATAAAGATTGAATCAGCAAGCATTAATATTACTAAATCAAAAAATGTTGTTGTGTCTCATACAGAATCCTTAAATCGGTTATTTTTGTGGTTTAACACAGATTAAAGTGTCCTCAATAATCCAGGTAGATAAATCTAATATGACTGGGCCTGGTCCTCCGGACGCAGGTGGTTGATCCTCTATGAGAAGGTGCTGCTCATGAGACTGTGTTTGTTGAAACTGAAGAAGACTTTTGGATAAAAGATGAAATGTTTCAACAAAGAAGAATCCGTCCAGAGGAGCAGAGTCAACCTTGTTAGACAGTAAATTGTCTACATTTGTTATGATTTTAAATTCTAATGCGATCATGTAATCAATGCAAATAAAAATACTTTATATGCATAGTTAAAACTAATTTTTTCTTCTTTTCCAGCTGTAAAGTTCATGTTTGATTGTTTATAATACTATAAAGAGAATACTGAGGGGCTTTCAATGAATTCTATACAGGTAAAACCATGTGATATGACATCTATAACTTTTCATTCAACCTTTATTTGTACAGGTTAGTCTCACTGAGCCTCGAGGACTCATTTACAAGAGAGACCAGATTTTAACAAAGAATGATGACAACATGACAACAATGACAACAATAGACAATCATAAAAGAAAGCATATTGAGAAAAATAAATGAAAGAAATTTATATTAAAAAAACGGAGAAACAAAACAGCTAGAATGTAAAGCGATGTAGAAAACTAAAAACAGGAACATGTCTGTGTTGTTTTTTTCCAGGAACTTAGCAGATGGTAAAGCCACTTAGAGAGGTCAAGGTCGAGAGCTTCAAATCTTTTTGCAAGATATTCCAGGAAACAGGAGCGGAGTAGGAGAAGACCCTTTTGTCTAGTTCAGTCCACACTGAGGGAACACTGCAGGTAATAATGTCCTGAGAGCACACGCTGTAGCTGCACTCACGCAGAGACATGTAGGAGAAGATGTATGAAGGCAGCAAACCAAGAAGTGATTTAAACATGAAATGGTGTGCTACTTAAGCACACATATGTGGTTTATGAGCGGCCAAGGAAAAAAACAGCTACTCTCTCACTCAGAGTGTCTCTGTGATGTAATGATGACCAGTTAACCAGTGAGTACAGAGTGCAGTGATGAGTACGGTAGTTACAGCCAGTTATGAATCTTAGCGCACCATCATAGACAGAACTAAACTCTGGCTTTGCAATTACAGAGTATCAAACCAAAAGTTCATTTTGCATTTTGGCTCTGGCTGGAAGTAAATGTGAGAAAGGACGAAGTTCTGCAACACTGTCGAACTCAAGGCCCGGGGGCCAAATTTGGCCATCGTTGACATCTTTTCTGACAACCAAGATGATATTTGAAACATATAATATTTCTATCGCTTGAATTTTTTTCAGTAATCTTTGATTATGATGTCGAAAGCAAAACAGAGAACATTAAATGAGACCATTCAAACTCTTGTTGAGGAACCTGCAACCAAGACAAGATGTTGGGTATCTGATTCGAGTTAATGTAGTTTCTGAAATTGGTCCTTAGTTTAAAAAAGGTTTTAATTTTGGCCCCTTTTTGTAAATGAGTTTGACACCCCATTTTGTCCTGTTCCATGAGCTTGTCCATCTCTGGACGGTGAGACCACGCTGCTGGTGACACGTGTCACTGAGGTGGCAGACTGCAGCCAAACATTCAAAACAACAGTTAGAAAGAAAAAAAAAAACATAAAATAAAACATGCACTGCAGAGGAACTATGGGTTTGACACTTGAGAGGGAACAAGAGATAAATCTGCAGCAGTAAAAATTATAGATACTAAGAGATGGTTAGCACTTTATGGTTTTACTTCTTCAGTCCATCATTTGGGCAGCTGTGGCTGAGTGGTTAGAGCAGTTGTCCTCCAATGCGAGAGTTGGGGGTTTGATTCCACCAACAGTCACATGCTGAAGTGTCCCTGGGCAAGACACTGAACCCCTCATTGCCTCCGATGTGTGTCCCATCAGTGTATGAATGTGATCTAAAGCACTACATCTCTACAATCTCTACAGATTCAGATTAGCTTTGTAAAGATCTAGTAGAGTGCTGTATGAATGGGTACATGAGGGCACAGATTGTGGTGTAAAGTGCTTTGAGGATCTTAATAAGATAGAAAGCTGCTATATAAGTACAGTCAATTTACCATTTACCATCATTTCAAATGACTCCACTTCATGTAATAACTGTAAAAACCACAGCAACGGAGGAAGAAAAGTCATTTTTGAACAGCGGGTTGAGGTCAAAACAATATTTGCTGCATGAAACATTGATGGTGATCTGCCATGACTTCTGTTGTTTCCCCTTCTGTCACAGTGTGTGAGTGTGATGGTGAGGCAACGCGTGGAGAAGCAGAAACGCAGACAGAGGTGAGAAATGTCACAGACAGTGAACGATGTAGAGCTGCGTACAGAAAAAGATGCACTGTAAGAACGGATACTGGCTGATCGTTCTGCCAACACATTTTTCAAGCCAACCAGCCAAACAACTGGTGGAGATGTTACTAAAAGATAAAACTATCGTTTGAGCTAAACTTTCAAAGCAAACATATAAAACATTATCCATCTAACCACGTCATTAATATATGTCAACTTAAATATGAAGGTCAGATGGGTGGATGAAAATAAACGTGACTGTTGTACTTTGTAAATAGGGATGCACGATATTATCCGCATGGTATCAGTATCGGCTGATATTAGTGTTAAATTTCAATATCAGACATTGGCCATTCCATTAAAATAACTTACTGATATAAAAGGCGCTGTTTTTTTGCTTGCAGCGGCAGCGCAACGTGATGACGTCACGTGCGCCTACCCGAGCTCACGGCGGAGAGGAATATTCAAAATGTCGGTGGTGTGGAAGTTTTATCTTTCGATGGTGAGGATGTTGGATTCCGAAGGTTTATGGACTAGGTTTAGTCTCGCTATATCGTCCCCAGTCGGAGATATTTTTCCGACGTAACGTTACCCGAGTTTCAAGCCATCATTTCCGACGTCATTGAGAAACTAATAGCCGATAGCATGACTTAGTGCTACATTTACTTAGTAAAATCAAAATAAAGTAACATTTAGAAAATGCATTTTCTTTACGTCACTAGATCTGGAGGTCCACATGTACGCACCAGAACACGTGGGAGCTTTTTGTGTAAAAGAAAAAAATCAGGAGGAAGAGTAAATCCCTAAAGGGCTCTCCAAATCATTCATGACTGACAAATACTTGAATAAAACTTATGAGACTTTATTTTTTTCACAAATACAAGGTGGTGTATGGTGCTTACTAAAGTAAAAGGGTGCTTATCTGAACTAAATAAAGTCTCCACTGAATATTTACTCACTATTTCTTGGTGGCTCTCTCTAAAAATGTGTTAAAAAATGACTGAATTTCAAGGACTCGGATTTGTTTCCATTACATGAAATGATGAATAAGTCTCAGATTATTTCTTGAACAAACAGAAAATAAAGACCTAAGCAAAAGGCAGTTATCAGATCTCTTTCAATCCAAGTCCTTTCAGTGACTGTATTTGTGAAATTTGACCTGGCTGAGCAGATGGAAAGCAAGCATGCACGAAGAGATGATCAAATGGCTCCAAGACTGCTGCTGAGACAAAATCAGCAAGAGTCCAACGATGTCAAAGTGTGCAGACTGCATTCAGGTGACCTCTATGATGATTCTTTAAAAATGTAAATAATTCACTTTTACAATAGTTTTACATTTTGCCTATTTTCATGGTACTTGCAGGAACAAACAAAAGTGAACGAGTTGAGGACAAGCAAAGACAGGAAAGTTGTCGATTGTGTAGAGACATAGCTCGGTGGCAACATGGAGGTTACTAAGCAACATGCAGTCACGGAGAAGTTAACAAATCACTATTGTGACTGAGAATCGATGAACACGACACAATTACTGCGACAAATGTAGGTAGTTAGGAACGTCAAGGTCTGAAAAATCCAGACTAATGTTGGACACACAAGACTCATGTTTATGTCTTCAACACTGGAGATCTGAGAGGAACTTCTATGGGCCTTCCAAAAGAATAAACGGCTCTGTTCATCTCCTTCAGGGCAGATGATCGTTAATAACTCTTTATTAATCGAAACAAGCATGACTGCACATCATCTTTAGCAAATTCCCCCAGTAATTTGTCTGTAAGAGCACATGTGGACCTCGATGCTGATGAAGCATAATTTTAGTCTTGAGATGCAGATGATCAGACTAGCGTTGTTGCCTCATTTCCTGTTTGTTGCTGAGCTGAGCTGTGGGAGTTGTAGTCTTGTCTAACTGCTGCCAGTCTCCAGCCAGGACGCTGAGGTCTGAGTCAATCTGAAATTCAGACTTTGAGTCTGCGCGTTGTGTGGTGCATGTTCGCATGGAGACCTTCTGAGCTGGGTTCAGGATACTGTTGTTGGTTGTAGAATTCATAAACAAGTTGGTAAAGATTTTTATGATTGAATTCATCCAGTTTTCTAAGATACACAAACATCTTTTTGTGATCAATAATCTGAAACACAGCATTTTACTGGAATGTAGGGTTTGATGTTTAAAATAAGATTTTTTTTAATTGTCTACCGCAATTGTGGCAGAATTTCTCCTTTGACACGTTCTACATTCATCAAACACAAGAACCAACAATAGATCGTAATAAAAAATGCATCATTACCATTAGTTACCACCATTAAGATGTGTGGTAACTAATCTTACTGTGTGGTACTTAGCTTTGTTTAAGAACATTACTGCAGAATATACAAATGGTTTCTTATAAATATTCTTCCTGGCCAGCAGGACTCAGATGGAAGCATCTGGAAGCAGTTGTGTAGAGGATGTGAGTGGTCCTCGGTGATCAGGGTGGCTTTCTTGATCACTGTAGAAGTCTGACAGGGGAGACTGAGGTGAGCCAGTTATTGCACTTTAATTATTTGGTGTAATTTAGCTTTCTGTTTTACATTGATGAGGTTGAACCAGGTTGAAATATTAAAAGTTCAAATGGACTCAATCAGGGACTTATAAATCAAGGTCAGAGTGCTCCTGTTGAGATGAAAGGTCTTTAGTTTCCTCTGCAGGTAAAGATGTTGTTGGGCCTTCTTACAAATTGAGTCAGTGTGTTGTGAAAAAATGTTTATCTCTGTGCCAAGGTACTTAAAAGCATCCACCTGCTGTGTGTGGATGATCAGTGGCTCAAACAATGCTTCTGGTGTTTGGGCTTGACACCCACTGCACAGTTCCTTCGGCTTAGAATTGTTCAGCTCCAGCGAGTTGAGTGAGAACGTCATGAGGAGACCGTGGACAGTCCGCTGAAAGCAGGACAGAGCCTCAGGTCTGGTCAGGTGCGCCACAAGAACATGTCATCTGCATATTTACAAAGAGCGGTTCCTTCACTATTTCATGAAATAACATTTGTGTAAATAGAGAAGAGAATAGGGGAGAAAACACATCCTTGGGTTAGTCCAGTGTTTTAAAAAATTACTCTTACACTCAAATGTCTTCAAAGAGAGAGACACTTTTTAATGACTCACTCTGAGTGGACACATGAGTGTAATTTTAGCTGTACCTTAGCCACGTTGTATAATAAGATACTTTTTAAAAAACTTTATTGAGACAAAATGTCTTCAAGCAAAAGAAAATGGCATCGGTTTAATTGGCTTTTTTTGTGGCAGGTTTGGGAATCCTCTAAATCTAAGGCCATGGTCCTCAGTTGGTAACGGGTGAATTGCTCTCTTCGGGTTGAAGGTGAGGTTCTGCCTCAAGTGGAGGAGTTCAAGTATCTCTGGGCTTTTGTTCACGAGTGAGGGAAGAATGGAGTGTGAGATTGACAGATGGATTGGTGCAGTGTCTGCAGTATTGTGGACTCTGGTCCGATGTGGTGAACAATCAGACTACGTTCCTACCTTCACCAATGGCCATGAACTCTGGGTAGTGACCGAGAGAATGAGAATGTGGATAGAGAACGTTGAAATGAGCCATCTCTGCAGGGTAGCTGGACTCTCCCTTAGAGATAAGCTGAGAAGTTCAGTTATCCAGGAGAGACTCAGAATAGAACCACTGTCACATTGAGAGGAGCCAATTTAGGTTTATGGGGCCCAAATCCCGGACCTCACAAGAAGAAGAGCCGTTGGTGTTAAGTTTAAGACTGAGGTGTGAATTAGGGATAGGTTTGGTTTAGGTTTAAGTATGTACTGGTTAGGTTTAGGATAAGGGTCAGGCCATAGAAATAAATGAAAAATGAATGGAAGTCAGTTAGGGATGCACAATATTATCGGCATATATGTATGTATATATATATATATATATTGGTATCGGCTGATATTAGCGTTAAAGTTCAATATCGGACATCGGCCATTCCATTAAAATAACTTGCCGATATAAAAGGCGGTGTTTTTGCCTGCAGCGGCAGCACAACGCGATGACGTCTTGTGCACCTATCCGATCTCACGGCGGAGAGGAAAATTCAAAATCAAAATGTCGGCGGTGTGGAAGTTTTATTTTTCGTTGGTGACGATGTCGGATTACAAAGATTTATGGACTACGTTGAGCCTCGCTACATCGTCCCCAGTCAGAGATATTTTTCCGACGTAGCCTTACCCAAGTTACAAGCCGTCATTTCTGACATCACTGAGAAGCTAATAGCCGATAGCACTTGGGTGAGTTTTACCACAGACATTTGGACGTCGTGTTAGCCCCGTTAGCATGATTAGTCTTACGGCACAATGGATAGACAAAAACTTTGAACTTAAAAAGGTTGTCCTTCATTGGAGAGGAGTGCAGAGGATCCCACACTGCAGCTAGGAACCTGGAACAAGCCTCCACAAGTGAGACAGCATTGCATGTGACTAATGCTAATAAATAACATTTAACACTTTTCATTTAATATAAGTTAAAGTGCTATGCATATCATATGGCTGTTACTGAATATATGTCACCAGCGCTTACAGCTGTTACACAATTTTTATAGGAAATAAGCCTAAATAAGAGAGCTATGTTCTGACAAATGAACGCATGTAAAATATCGGTATCGGCATCGGTTATCGGTCAAATAAGTTTTAACATATCAGATATCGGTCAAAAATCCAATATCGTGCATCCCTAAAGTCAATGTAAAGTCCCTGTAAAGATAGAAAGACAAACCGGTGAGGGTGGGGGGGTGGGGGGAGCGTGTGTGCATGTGTGTGCTTGCAGTAGAAGGCAGACCTGGCCACTTTGGTGCCGCCCCGGATGACTTGCATGTCCACGTTACAGGTTCCATTTGAATGTGCAACAAGGTTGATGTCTGAGAACTCAGCCTACACGGAGAGAACAGAGAACAGATGAATCTGTGCATTTTTAAAGATGGTTTATTTTTTAAATACCTATACAACTGATTTATTTGTCATTTCAACTAATGTTTTGTGCCAAAATAAAAACAACTGAATCACTTTTCCTATGACAATCTTCACCGAACATGAGCGCAACACCTCGAAGCGTGCACTTTTGCACCTGTATACTGGGTTTATTTTCCTGCACACACTCGCTGTGCAGTTGCTTTAGTAAATGATGTCTGCTGCTGCTCTTTGGTGTGGTTAAGACCCAGTGAGGAGTTCTGTGTGACGCATAGCTGCCGCATTCTGTCTTGTCTGGTTGTATGTTTCGTTTCTGTGGTGAGGTTTGAAGATATGATTCAGTATCTATTCAACGTGAAATTGTTTTACACAAAAACACCCTTAAGAAAAGTCATTCCAAAAGAAGTAGCCAAGCGATGTGGATTGGTTTGCTGGTTAGTTAGCCAAACCAATATGAAACCGACATGTCTTATAGTCTCGACGTCACGCTGCCTTTACAACAGACCATAAAACGAGCTGAACAGCACACAGAGTTTTATATTTGAAGTGGTTTTTAAAAGTGTAACCACATTTTAATATATGATTACTCACTCACAGCACAGACATTAAGTAAAGATGACAAATGAAAGTGGTCATGTCTGGTTGTTGAATTGGCACTTTTCATCAGAGTTACAAATTTCTGCAAAGACTGTTGTAACACAAAACATTTTCACAATTTAGTCTGGCATCTTAGGCCAGACCTTTAAGAGTTTTAAACAAAGATATATTTATGTTGCAGCCATTTTAGTCAAACTTGGAAAATAATATGTACTGTCTCACACAATATGTTTAGAGTATGCGTTTGCAAATAACTCTCAGCTATTACTTCAGTAATTTTAATTGTGGTTGCAGTCGTAAAGCCACTAATTTTGTTCTGGGCGTTATATTAGAATCTGTTCAGAGGTTGAAGATATGTTATGCTAACAGACAAATAAGGCTGACTTCAAACAGTTATTGCCAAGGTTTTAAGCAAAGATGTTGCACAAAAAATTGTGCTTGAAATATGTGTTGGGGGAAATGCTCACCTACTAACGCACCAAACTTTAGCTCAGTATCTGTAAACTATGCTGGGTTATAACCGGTGTTGTGGTTTTATGCTCAGTTAGCTGTGGTGGTCATGTTGAATTGGGTTGAGCCCAAATGTTTATTGGTTGAAGATGTTTCCTGAACTAACATGCAGTTTATATTTTAACAGAACACAGTTAATAGTATAACTTGCAACATCTGTGGCATTGTGCTGTGTGATAAAACTGCACATTTCAGAGGGACCTTTTATTGTGGTCAGCCACACCTGTACAATAATCATGCTGTCTCAGCATCTTGATATACCTGTGAGTTGGATGGATTATCTCGACAAAGGAGAAGTGCTCACTAACAGATTTACACAAATGTGTGAACAATATTTAAAAGGAAAATTTTGTGTAAGTAGAAAAGGTCACATCTTTGAGTTCGACTCATGAATAATGCAAAAACAAAACTTGTGTTTATATTTCTCTTCAATATATTACCAGTGATTACTTTCTGAAAGTTCCATTAATATCATCTATTCATTGACTCAAGAGATATGTTGCTCAAAGACAGTTGATTTTAATAGTAAATGGCAAAATATTCTACACAAGTTTGACACAATTAGTATAAATCTGAGTATAAACTGAGGATTCTTTCAACCTTTATTTATACAGGTTAATCCCATTGAGACTCGGGGAGTCATTTACAAGAGAGACCTGATTTTAACAAAGAGTGATGACAAATAGACAATCATAAAGGATGCATACAAATTGAGAATAACAAGTGAAAATAATAATAATAAAAAGGATCAATTTATATTCATGATCAGACCCAGTTATTTCATCAAGTACTAGCTCAGTATCTCTATAACTGACGGAGGAATGGCGATTTACTCACATAATTTTAAGATAAGTTTTTTTCTCATATGTATTATGTATATACTACATGATTTATTTATCTGTGTTATGATGGAAACTGTTTCTAATACTGTTAAAAATGTATCTGCAGCTGATGATGACTGTTTTTCTGGTGTTTGACAAAACGCCACAAATAAATTCTTCATTATAAAATCTGATATCTATGAAACCCCAACCATTCAAAATCATCCTTTATTTACACAAGCATAATCTGATCAGATATTATCAATGAGTTTTATCAAACAGGATGTTCATTTTATTTTCATCCCTCTCATTTTTATGATTTATTTTAACCTTTTCATAAATTTACTCTGATGGATTATAATGAAAAAGTAAAGTCAGTATGTTACCTGCTCCACTTTAATGTCATAATCCCCGAGGACCTTCTTCCCTCTGAACACTTTGGCCCTGAAAATGAGAAGAAAAGAAAAGTTTCAGTTTTTATTTTTTTATTTTTTTTTTATTCAACCTCACAGTTGACTCTACTGCCCTCTACTGGACAACTCAACATGCAGAGAACATCAGAAAATGGATGCCTGCCTGCTTGGACACATTTATTGGCAAACATTTCTTGGTGCATTAAGTTTTAAAGGGTGTTTTAAAAAGCTTTAAAGGTGCAAATAATCCGCTTTTCTCCTTCATACCTGCAGTTTGTGACAACATCATGGGTGCAGCACTGAACTGAGATTTAACGTCAAACAAGTGTCATTCTGACTAAATGATCATTGCTCTTCATAGGAGTGCAGCTTGTTGTTTTTTCTTCCTAATATCTTGACTGCCACACACTGATATGGTCTCAAGTAAACACAGAGGCGGCCAGATGGAGAGAAGGCAGCAAGAGACGAACTGACAGAGAAAAAAAGAACATTGGCAGCCAAAAGAACACCCAGGACATGTCATTATGCACAGGACCGCAAGTGGATCACAGATGGTTTGCAACCCAAATACTGAAGCTAAATAAAGGGTAAAAAATGTAGGAAATACAAGTCATTTTTATGGCAGCGTGTTCCTTTCCTTACAAGATTACAGGATCCTTTTCTGAGAGCTCAGAAAACAAAATGTTAAAATGTTTTTATTTTTGAAGATGGCTGTTAAAGTCTGGATTCGGCCCCATCTAATGGCATTTTTCTCTACTGGCTTTGAATTCTCAACCTGAATTTCAAACCTGCTAAACAGACTGAACCAAAAGTTTCATTTGAAATAATTCAGGCTACAAGCTGCACAAGCTATTTGTTTTCGGTCAATTAAAAATGTTTCCTGGACTCCTTCCATAAACCCACACAGGACCTTGTGTCACTCGATAAGACGGCATCTGGCTCATTTGTCTCGTTCATTAGAATCAGACCATCTGTGAGTGAATCACTCTGCGGGTACAGTATTGTGCTTCAACTGCCTGCAATCAGTAACGCCAGAAAATTGGGTGATCCTAAAATTATGATATTTATCATCGTCAGCCAGCAATTTGGTGTGTTTATTTTAGTTTATCAGCATTTACAGATGTTCATTCTTTTATTCATAAAGCACAATCATGTGTTATTTCAACGTTTATTCAGAAAATTGATCTAAAGCCATCCTCAGTCCTTCTTTCATTTCCTGTGTTTGATAATTAAAAAAAATAAAAAAGCACAAACCCATCATGTCAGCCCAAAACAATTATGGACAATTATTGTATTTGATCAAAAAGCAGCTCATGGCTTTTCATTTAAACTCAACTTTTACATAACTCACCCATGAATGCAAATCTGAATTTCAGCAGAGCTGCAAGTGAACGCCTGACAAATTACAACTCAGGGTATTCTAATAATGTTGTAATAGGTTTACAGCTTAAAGGCTAAAATGATTTAAAGTTACAACCAGGTGATGCGTAGCGTTTTTTTTTTAATTCAAAGTCTAATTTAAATTGTTGAATCTGCAGAATTAAAATGGGCATCTATTTTTATATTTTCATTCCAATAAAAATGTCCATAGCCAGCACGATGAGCAGTTCTGTTGGTTGATCAAAGCATCATTTCCCATGTGTCTATATGAGAACCTGACCACATTTCATAAAGTCCAGTAAAATGTTAAAAACAAATAGTTTATTTATGATGTATGATTTCCTTAAACAAAGCCTTGAACGTAATAGGTGTTCATTTTTATGTGACAGCAATTTGCAAATATCTGCAGAGCTGCAAAGTTGCATTCCTGGAATTTAGTAAGATTGAACTAAAAACACTCCTCTGACACACTTAAAATGTAAATGTGAATATGTTACCAACCAGATGCACATTTTGCACGACCAGTCATTCATTCAGACAAATCTAATAGCTCGAAGATTCCCCTCAATCCCAATTCACTCATCTCACCCACAAGCCTACTATAAATGAACATATTTTTTGCAGCTAAATGCTTCTCTTTCCTGTTCTCCACTTCACCACAACACCATTTTTGCCTTGCTATTATTTGGTAAGTAGTAGAAGAGTGAGATCTTTTTTAAAGCCATTAAACTGAAACCTGCTACCTGCTGAGGTTGTAAATGAGTTCTGCGCGACTCTCCCTGATTTGTGAAACATGCAACCGAAGTGTGTGTTACACATCTGTTCAGCACCTCTGTCAGGCTGCGTAACACTCAGGTTATGTGCTCCAGTGGCTTAATGGCAAATAGAAAATACAGCCTAAAAGAACAGGTGTCATAGCTGAACGCACACAGCAGCAGTAATAAACCTGCACACCAAAACATCAAAAATCACACACATTTCACACAAAAGTCCTGACATGATGCATATGTTTCTACCTGAACTAAAAATGTATCTTATTATTCATCTCACTTTTTTGTAATGAGCCTGACATGTCCCTCATAAGCAGAAATCATACGATTCCACTTTAATCTCATAAAGACGTCAAATTGAGATACTCTATGAAGTTGTAAACACCTCACCCTCTCTGACAGGTACTCCCTGCAGTTTTATGTAATTAATTTGTGGCACTCAGAAGGGTCTGGAAGAACAAACAGCTCTAAATGCAGTCAAGTAGAGGTTAATGAGCAGAATGATATGGAGAGACACCCACATGCCGGTTTGCTGGAGTACAGTGCATGAGATCAAAGATTGTTCTCAGACCATCACAGATGTCAGACTGCTCTAATAAAATGCTCTGCAGCTCATTTCCTGTGTAATTCTCAAAAAACGATGTTAATCAATCATAAGGTTTTGCTGTTTGTTAAATGTTTTGCCATTAATTTTCTTGCAAATTGGAGCAGCTGAGCCAAAACGGAGTGAATTAAATTCAGTGGAAGGTAAATAAATATCCTCAGAGACAGATACATTGGATTTAAACAAGCAACTGCTGTTTGATTTATGAGGTTAGCAGCTCAACTAGACACATCTTGGGGAAAGAAAAAAAAAAGGCATTTATAATTCCTACAGCGTGTTTTGAAACTAATCAATATTTTGTTTGGAGAGGTGGGAAAATAAAATGTAGGTCTTGATAATAAAATGAGAATGACTAGATAATTTACAGAATACAACTCTTTATTTGCATTACATAATAATTGAGTTTATTAGTCTTTGTGGATCCTCCATGTTAACCAAGTCATTAATGGATAAATGCATGAATAAACTGCATAATGCATGAACTGCTTTGTATTTTTTTTACATCTGCTTTGACAAACAATAAGGCTGAAAAAGGACCATTTTCTGCAGAAGTGGAGAGGAGTGCTTCACCACATGTGAGTGTGAGTTACAGTTTAAAACCAATGTTAGACTTGAAAAGGACTTTTTCTGCATGAGAATAAGCACAGGGGTTATTTGTAATTGTGTGGAATACAAAAGCTTATGGGAGAAGTTTGAAAGATAAGGATGGATATGATGTGCTATGAAGCACAAACATCAAGAAAATGCAGAACAAAAACAAGCTCAAGTTTATTCCTCTATTTGAGTCTGAACGCACACAAACAGTTTGCAGGTTCACAGCCTGACATTGTTTAAATTAATTTCATATTAACAGCTAATTAGATTCTGTTTGCGTGTCTGTACTCAAAATAAATCAAAAATCGAAAAAGACACAAATATAATGAAAAGTCTTCATCGGATGAAATGAGCTGGGATTTGTTTGTCTATTGTAGATATTTAATCATCAAATCATTTCTGCAGCCTCATAATTAAAAACAGTGATGTATCTGATTTTTTTTTCTTTTTTTAGGAAGATGCATTTCAATTTAAATAGGACAAAATACATGATGGAGGGTAAAGGATTTTCATACAATTTCCGTTGCACTTTTAATGCAACAAGTACACTCTTGAATTATAGGAATGAGTCACAAAGAAAAATGAGTCAAGCTGGATTCAAAGAGAAGTTTGTGTTTGAGGATTAATGCTGTTGCCTACAGATTTCTCCAAATATATATGACAAAACCTCCCATCCATCCATCCATCCATCCATCCATCCATCCATCCATCCATCCATCCATTTGTCTGTCCGTCCGTCCATCCATCCGTCCATCCATCCATCCATCCATCCATCCATCCATCCATCCATCCATCCA